AATTTTGGCATGGATCAAAATAATTTCAACTAAATATCATGTAATAACAATGAATCATGCATTACAAGACTTAATTAGAAATAATCAATCACAATTGAATAAAACCCATGAGATTGAATTAAAAATCTAACTGGAATCAATTGAAATTAAAAGGAGAATTTAGAAACCTATGGGGTCCAGGGAGGAAAAGGACTCCATGGGTGAATACCCACATACCGTAGGAATACCTACGAATGGTACATGGGATCCATCAAAAGTGGGTGGAATTTAGGGTTCCAGTAACCTATCTACGGTTGAGCAGTACGGTCCGTCGAAGGGACTACGGACCGTAGGTCCAACAGTAGACAGGGTCCGTTAGTTATTTTTAAAGGGCTATTGGGTCATTTTATAATTATTTTAATCCAATACAATATAGTTTTACCTTCTAACCTAGACGTTTTAAACCCCCAAATTTCCTATTTTTGAACTCATTCTCCTAAATTCCGTAAAGTTGACCAAATTCATCCTCCCAAATTCTCTCAAGTCTAAGGAAGAAGAAGAAGAACTAGGGTTCCATTCAAGTCTCCAAATCCTCCATTTTTCTTGGGCTTTGACATCAAGGTATGTGTGTATTTACCCATGGAGTCTTTTCCTTCATGGGGTGCCTAAAGATTTCAAGTTTCTAATTTAATTTTCAATTATCAAATTAGGGTTTCAATTCAAGGAATGTGGGTTCCTTCCAATTATGATGGATTATGATTAATTAAGTCTTCTAATGAATTATTTGATGTTAATATATGATAATTAGTTGAAATTTCACTTGCCCATGCCTAAGTTATGCTTTTCAACCATGACTTTATGATAAACCTATGACCTATGAAATTATGGAGATATGCATGTTTCCATGAAGTTATTATGAAATGATTTGAGGTTTCTTGAGAGTAAAGCATCGATGTTGTTGTTATTGTAAAATGTTATTCTCACATGAAGGATTTATAGGGTTGAAAGATTTTCTCAACTAAAGATTGAATCAAGATTTAGGAGTTGTTCTGAATGAACTCTAGCTTGGATTGACTACTTAATTGTGCCTTTTCATGGATAAAAAGACGAATATGATTAAAGACTATACCGTGGGATTTATGCTTAGCACCAAGAGGACTAGTGGCGATTACCCATGTCCAATAACTATGTGCCACCATAGGTTTGTATTAGATAAACATTAGCTAGTGGATCCATTTTAGCTCAGTTTATGGTTCTTACCTTGGAAAGTAAGTGTTTACATCCCTACTTTATTCCAATAGGGTGAAATGTCGTGGTGACTCAAAAAATAATCAATTATTTCAATTTTAAAAGAACTTTAAGAATAAACGAATTTTAAAAGGAGTCGCCACCTAATTTTAGGAAAATCTAGGAAACTAATTAAATGATCTACGAAGCCATTAGATTTTAGGTAAGGGGTTCAAGTTATTTAGAAGAAAAGGTGTTAGACATCCTTCGAAATCCACAATTGTGGATCTCGACTGAATTCATTTTTTCAAATTGATGGGGAGATAACACCATATACAAGTAAAATTTTTTTTGCAATATATACAAATAATAAAGTAAATCAATGATATGGTAAACGGCCTAAGTTTGCCTAACGTTAACAATATACACAATAATGAATAAAAAATATGATTCGAACTCCATTCGAATAGCTTCAATGAGAAGAAACTCCAGGTACCTGTAAAGACACTTAGTAAAAGTGTTAGTAATAAATAAATAAAAATAAAAATAAATGAATTAAATAATAACTTGAAAATAAAAAAATCATCTTTTAAAATGGGGAGGCCTCGAAAATCGACGGAGAGATTTTTTCATTGGACCAATTTTTAACAAATAAATATATAAACTTAAACTAAATTTCCGTCTTTAATATTGGGGAGGCCTCGGAAATCGACGGAGAGATTTTTTTCATTGGCCAATTTTAATAGCTACTCAATAATAAATTAGCAAAATAATTAAGATAAGAAAATAGTCCAAAACAAATATAAAAATAGCACGAACAGTGGGCTTGCAAATATTTTCCAAGTTAGAAGCTAATTGCAATGAATAACTAAAGACTCATCATCGAACTAAAATTGTTTAAACAAAATAGCAACCCTAAAATAAAATAATTTTTTTTAAAAAATCAATAGGAACATAAGACAACTCACATGATTTGGAGTTTGGCAATAATAATATATTAAATTGAAGCAACATTGACGGATAATAACAATAACAATAAAATCTAGGCAGTAGCAAGCAACATTTATATATCAACTATAACAAATAATAATAAAACTAATAAGACTAATAACAACGAACCAACAACAAACAATGAAATAGAGGATCCCTATGTTTGAAAGCAACAAACTTACTAAAATAAAATAACTACAAACAGTAACATTAAAACATTTATCAAAAACCAATAAGAGTAAAATGTTGAAAAATAGATAGAGATATATATTAAAATGTGAAATTATGATGGTCACCAGAGCTTGGAACTGTCGCTTCGAGGTGATGCTTGTTGTTCACCAGAATTGGAATCACATCAGCGGTTTGATTATTTTTCACCGGAGTTGGAGCCATGCCGAAACTTGGAGCTTTTGGTTCGCTGATTTCGCCTGAGTTTGGACTGAACTACCTGTAAATGTAAATAAAAAATTGCGAAAGGGAAAGGGGAAGGAGACTGATTCCTGACTGGTTTTGGCTATTCTCCGGCGTTGCTAGCTCTCGCCGAGCTTGGTGGTGTGAGGGAGAAGAGAGATGGGTCTGTGTTCTATTTTTGGTCTTGGAGTGAAGAAAGGAAGAAAGAGAGGAAAATGGGGTTGTTTGGATGGGGTTTCTTCGATGGTTTGGAGCTGCGGTTTGGGGTCAAGTTTTGGGGGATTTTGGGTCTGATGAAAGGGTGGTTTTGGGTCGGATTTTTGCCCGAAAAAAGGGTGGTTTTGGTTGGTGGTTTCAGGTGGGTTTGGGTCATGATTCAGGTTGCGTTTGGGCTATTTTCAGGTGGGATTTTGGTGGTCTGTTGCTGGTCGTTTTCTGGGTTGAAAGGTGGTGGTGTTTGGTGGTTGGTCTGGTTGATTTGAGGTGGTTGAAGGTCTATTTGGTTGCTGGTTGTTGAGGTCGGAGAAAATGGTGAATGAAGGTGGTTGGAGGGTGGCGTTTCACCAGAAAAAGAGACTGGAGACTGGGGGTTTTTGTGTCTGTTTCGAGCTGGTGGCGTGTGTGAGGGTGTTTGACCAGAAACAATGGATAAAAGGGGAGAGATGAGCTGGGTTTCGCCGAAAAATGGAAAAGGAGTTTTGGATTGCCGGAACTTCGCCGGATTTCGGGGTAGTGGCAGTCGGAAAATTAATAACTAGTGAAGCCCTTTTGTGGATAAGAATCTGATAATTTCCAATCCTACTCTAAAAATATTTCACCACACTCTAACTTAATGACCAAGCTAATTTTGAAATAGGAAATTGAAAACCATCAATAGTGCAATACCATTATCTTAAATCCGTGGAAAATCACCGGTTAATAAAATATCTGTGTATGGAATCTTATCCATATTTGAATGATTTTTTAGATTGTGCAAAATATCAAAATAAATATTAACAAATGTAACTAATAAAATGATTATTAAAAAATGTAATGAATGTAATTAATCACATGTAAAAAATGTAATTTAACAGAAATAACGATTTAATCAAAATGAACAAATATTTGAAACGTATTCAACCAGCTATGACAAAAAATAATGTAATTAAAATTAATTGATAAAAAATCTGACATTTTGACAAAGAAGGATAAATATCGATAAACTTATTTAAAATTATAAAAAAAAAGTATTTTGAACTATTGAATAAATAGAACTTAAAAGTTATGAATTTTGAAAATGTTAGGCCAAAATTGGATGTCTATAGTAATGACATCTCTTTTTTGGTGTGGGATAGACACCAGATTCAATGTTATAGGTTTTTTTTAATTGAATAGTGGACAAACTCCACCCCTTTTATTTAAAAGTAATAAAATACTGCAATTGGGTCCAAAAGTGACCCGATTAAAACAAAAAAAATAAAAAAATCCAGTAAACTAAAAACAAAAGAGAAATCAAAGTAATAACACATTAGGAAACAAAGTGAGACCCATGTCTGCCAAATCTCATCATCTTCACCGAATTGTCACGCTGGAGGTTCTTCGAAAGACGAACAAAGAATTATCTCACATTATCTTGGGGCAATTTTCGATAACGTTCCAGGTATGAGTTGCAATCACTTCCACATCAACAAATCTCACTGATGTCATGATTCAAGTACCTTTGAAGACTTCTTCCACCTGGGTTTTGTCGATTTGGGCTAGACAAAAGCAATTTAGCTCGGATTTGGGGAACATCGACTGGCGCCTTGACGAGTTTGGATTCAAGTTCAATCGAGATAAGCACTTACCTTGACTATTAGATTGTTTAGTTTTGAGATATGATTTTGATGTTCAATCATTGATTATTCTCCTCACCAGGTTGAACCCCAAACGGGATTAATACCATTGTTTAAGTCGACTAATCTCTGACCTTGCATATTAAACATTTACCAGGAGATTAAGGTAACCTTTCAGCTACTCAACTTATTTGTCTCTTGAGTTGCTTCTACTACAACCTGTTATTGATGTTGTCATTTATTGAAATCCCATTGTACTGTTTGTTTTGAACTTTTCTGATTCTCAAATTGGTAACCTTGACTGTTCCTTTTATTTACTGCTTGAACTTTAATTTGGTAGTCTAAATAGATTGTTTTGGCCCTTCTTGATTCGTATACTTGGTGTTCCTTGTTTATCCAACTGCAGAATAGTTTTTGCCTGTATTGGTAGATCATTAGTATGATTAAAGTGAATGGAACCTGTCCCTGCAAAATTAATAACTATGTTAGTTAAATAATCTGCGAGCTTGTTCCCTTCTCGAAATGTATGAACTACTATCACATCCTTGTTCTCCATTGCCTCCATAATTTTTCTAATGTCTACAGAAATAATCCAAGGCACCTCCAAATTCCATCCAAAATCTTCTTAATGGTTACCGAATCAGTTTCCATAGTCAGAGGGAGGAGTTTGTGACCTAGGCAATACAGTAGACCCCCTTTAAATCCTTTTACTTTAGCCTGTAATGCAGAACAAAACTCAGTTTTGCAAGCTTCAACATACACCAACTCTCCTTGACCATTTTTGATGCAAAAAGCATTTGAACCTAGGCTAGACCCATCTGAGTTGCATTTGTAGCTTTCCCTTTCAGGAAACTTCCACCTCACCATAGTATTGTTAATTAGTGTTGTGTAGTTTTCTAGAAATTGTACAATGGATGTCCAAGTATTAGGCATTTCTGCTAACCAAGAGTATCTTGATTTTGCCATCAAATGTATATTCCTATTAATCTCCAGCACCATAGTATGTCTGGTCATGCTACCCCCATGTAAAATTATATTTCTCCTTTTCCATAATTGCCAGATGATAAAACTTGGTACTGCCCTACACAAAGGTTTCAACTTAGTTGCACAATCTTCTTCCCACCACTTATAAATAGTTTGTTTCAGTTGAATGAATGGACCTTGCATTCCAATAGCCCCTGCAAACAACTTCCAGAGATATGTAGCATTCAGACAGAGTACAAACAAATGGTTAAATGATTCTCGATTATTAGTGTCACAACAATAACACTCTATATGATTAGCTATCCTACTTTTAACCAGGACTTCTCCAATTGGAATCCTTTGAAACCATATCCTCCACATCAGAAAAGAAAACTTAAAAGGCAAGCACCTCTCCCATATAAACATTATATCCTTGTGAGGATCCTTCCTGCTTTGGATAATTTCAAAAGCACTCCCTACATAAAATTTTCCTTTGTTGATGGGCATCCACCACTGTTTATCATTTTCCTCTATCTGCTGAATTGTACCCATGACTTGATTCACATGATCACAAATACTTGAATCAATAAGTTTAGTCAACAAGTTATTATCCCACCTTTCATCCACTCTTAGTTGATTAACTTCTTCAAAATTCTCATCAATAACATGATCAAGAGGCATGATGTAATGTAAGGCTCCAAGTTGTGTCCAATTGTCATACCATAAGCTAGCATGACAACATCTAGGTTCCCACCATATTTCTTGATCAAAGCTGTCTCTAGCCATTAACATCATCTTCCAAACTTGAGATCCTCCCCTCCATTCCACCAGTTGAGGTCTATATCTCTTGTAGTACTTGTTCCACATAAAGTGAGACCATAAAGAGCCTTCAGTTCTAAAGTTCCACCAAAGCTTTGCGAACAAAGATTTGGACACATCAAAGAGGGATCTAAAGCCAAGACCCCCCTCCTCTTTAGGTAGACAAGTGTCATCCTAGGCTATCCAATGCTTTGCCCTATCATTTTCTTTGAAATTCCATAAGAACTCGGTTAATGACAAACTTCCCACAATAATGAACTAAGATTACTTCCTAAAAGTATCTCGAATGTGTTTTAAAGTTGCTTAGATTACTTTGACCATGGTTACGACTTATGTTTTCTAACATGTTATTTTTTATTTTTTTTTAAACGACCCTTGGGGGGGTCAGGGACTTACCAACACCCCCAGGCCTTATCATAAATAAAAACAAAAGCAAAATACAAGGAGGGGGACATAAAACCTTACCTGTAGTCCTATGGTGGTTCAAGAGTCAACCTTCCTCCTAAGGATAGTCAACTAGTCCCCGTACTATAAAGGAAACCTATTCTCTAAGCACCTAGAAGAGAGGACTCCTCTCGATACAAAGTAACTAGGAAGTATAAATAAAGGAGACTCTCCCCTTACAAAGTAAGAAGAGAATGAAACTTAAGCCTATCCAAAAAGCTAAATCTAACATAAAAGCTATAATGAATAGGGTAGTTGACTAAGTAGTGCAACATCATGGAGGTTGTTTAATTCTTTTCAATCTCTTTCTTCTAAAGTTGGACATGCCCATCTTTTCCAGCAAATAACTACCTTTGGCCTCTACTGGTAGTTGTTGGTAAGTGTAGTAGTGATGAACTATGTCAGTTTTGTGACTTCTTTTAGAGAGAAAATCTGCAGTACTGTTCTAACATGTTATTTTATGATTTATCTTGGTCATTACATGTCATGTAAAGTCCTTTTAGCATGATTTCATAATTCTTGTTTATTTCTATCATACTTAGTACATTCCATGTACTAATGCACACTTGTGCCTACATTGTTTCACTAATGTAGGGTCTGGGCGCTCCCATTCCTCACACTTGTGGCTAGTTGATCTTTTTAAGCTTTTGAAGATTGGTAAGTCCTTATGTTCCGAGGACCAAGACTCTTTTAGTGCTTTATGTCATTTTCATTTCAAACTTGTATGTGATGTATGAGTTACATCCCAAAAACTTTCCTTATGATGTACTAGATGGCTTGAAGACTTATGTTAGACTTCCGCTTTTGTCAAACTCCTTATGATTTAAAATTGTCTTTTGAATTCTTTAAATTTGGTTATCTTGTATGTTGTATACTAAGTGGCTTGTGTAGGGTCTCTCGAGGTCCTATGCTCCATGTAACGCCTAGGGTATACTCTAGGTTGTGAAAAACTGGGTATTCAGAGCACAAGGTTTAGAAAGGTCCTAGGAAGTCTCACAAGCCATGTCGAGTAGAGTCTTATTCATGAGTGTGAAGCACACCACATTTATGAATAAGAAGCTAAATGATATTTAGGACACTCCACTTCTTCATTACTCTAAAGTCGTGTGATAGAGTGTAACTCTATATGTATCTCCCCTAATCCTTATTTGATGCTTTTCAGGATATGTCCCCTCGAAGAGCATACAATAGGATGAATGTGAATGAGAATGTTGAACAAGAAGCTCAAACTCCTCAAGTTCCGATTGACCCTTTGACCGAACAAGTGAATAATGCGGAGTTTAGGGTTGCTTTGCAAGTGTTGGCTCAAGCCAATTGGGAGGTTGTGGTCCTGTGAACCCAAATGTGGGTACAACGACAACTAGAGTAAGATATTTCACTAGGATGAATCCTTTGGAGTTTCATGGTTCAAAGGTTGAGGAAGATCTTCAAGAGTTCAACGATGAGGTGTATAAGGTGTTGATGATCATGGGAATGACACTGGTGGAAAAGGTGGAATTGGCAACTTATCAACTTAAGGGTGTTACTCAAGTTTGATTCAACCAATGGAAGGAAATATAACATTAATTAATATAATAATTTTCCTCAATGGTCCTAATGGGGCAAAAATTTGCAAACATTTTACGGTTAACTCACGGTCTACGGGGATTGAACCTACGACAAAATGGTTAAAAGCCACGTGCTCTACCACACACTCTATCACTTCATGCAAATATTTTGTAACGATCTGACCCCGTCGTTATGAGTAGGCCAATGATAAAATGAATCAGGTTAGAAAAGTTTTCGGAAGGTGACATAAATTTTTTAGGCTAAGCTAGGTTTAGAGGGAATTTGGGCGAGGTGAGATATAGGGACCTCCAAGTATGGGTTGAGTGATACTTCTAGGCTTGGGTTATATTTTCTAGTAGCCAGATATTAGGAAACTTGTAGGGCTTCACAGAATTGAATTCGGCGTGAAAGGGATAGTTCCGGACATCAAGGGAAAGAGGTATGTTGTGAAAAATGAGATTTTCAGGGAATTTTGAGTCTTTGAAGTTTGTGTCATCTTCTATAGAGGGAGGTGTCCGCTAGTGCGGGGGCATATACATATATGCATGATAGTGGGCTTAGTGCCGCTATAGCGGGTCAGGGTCGCTATAGCTAGGGATAACAATGGGGCGGGGAAAATTTAAGCTATCCGAGGAGGTGTGGGTTTAAGGTTATGTGGGGCAGGGAGGGATGTAGGGGGGGGTTGAAGTGGGTTTTTAGGAAACTAATGCGAGGCGGGGCGGGTTGCGAGTCTATGCGGTTTTATGCTGGTTCAAACTTAATTTTAACTTTTTACTTGTTAGAAGAGTGATAGAACATTATCTATTAATATATTTCTTTAAATTCACTAAAATATTCAAGATAGTAAATGAAAATGGTATAATCAAAACTAATACAATTTCTTACATGCTTCCAATTGACCTCTAAAAAATAAAATTTTAAGTCATTATCTATTAAATTAATATAACTTAATGAAAAAATAAATTTATTTTTATGAGTTTTATTTTTAGTATCAAACTTACCTAGAAAAAAAATATTAAAAAATTTATGCGGGGAGGGTTAAATTTTTTGCGGGTGAAGTTCAACCCTCCCGTCTCCGCCCCATTGCCATCCCTAGCTATAATAGGGTAAGTAGGGGTTTTATGTAGAAAAAGTTTCAAACCCTCCTATTTTTTGCACTATTGTTCTGGGAATTGAGAGAGGCGAATTAGAACTGTTCATACTTGATTTTCCACGAAATTCATTCGTAAAGGTAAGTTCGTCACTCCCTCATCTTGAAAATTGATTGTTAAATATTAGAATCTAGGATAACACTCCTGGGGGAGGTTCTTCACTTGAATTAATGGTGGAAAAACCTTAGTTTTAATAGAATTATCATGAACCGGCCTGAGGTTAGGGATTTGGTTATAATCCGAATATAATTAGGTAATTTTTTATTGATTGTTGTAGGTATTGTTTGTTTTAGATCAAGAATAAGCCAAAACACTTTAAAAAGGAAAAAATCGGATTCTTTAGAATTTCCAAGAGGCTTGAATCGAGGAAGCTGGTGGTTACAATTTATGTCAGTATGCATGTGTACTGCATTATAACATCACTTGTATAATTTATGCTTGGTAAGACATAAGGATGTATGTGAAAAGACATCATGGTGATACTCTCATCTAGTGAACTTATTTAAATTACTTGTGGTTTTCAATTATTACTGTTCATTGTGATTGTGATTGTGCATGATTGTTGGCTGGCTCGGGTACCACGTTTGGTACACGAATACTAATTGTCTGCTTGTGTACTACGCCTGATATGATTACTAACTCTGGTTGTCTTGGGTACTGCACTGTTATAGTGTGTGGGTTCCATGATAGGATCAAATATATGTATTGTGGTTTCATAAGAGGATCGCGTATTTGTAATTGTGACCATATGGGACATGCATCCATGTATTGGTTGATTTTATGATATTGTGATTGAGAGTTTGTGTATCGGTGATCATGGTTATGTGTGTTGTACTGTATTTTCTGTATGGTGGTTAATTATTTACATTAATAGTTTGGACTAACCGTGTGATCCTACCAGTACATTGTGGTTGTGTACTGATACTGCACATGTTCTGTTCTTATTGAGTACAAGGCATTTTCTAATGGCTGATACGAGATCTTAGTTAAGGGATGCTTGACTTTAAATCCATGCGTGAGTTACTCTTCCAGGCTGCCATGGGTTCCTCTTCATTTTCTTTTCAATCGTTTCGAACAAAGACATTAGACTATTAGTTCGTATGTTCTAAGTTTTCAGGGTTGCATCCCCACTCTTGACTTATTTAGATTTTTGATACTACGACTTTCTATTCTTAGGGGTTTATTTCCGCATAAATGTTCCGGCTATTGATAAAGTTTGTGGGGACTCCATCCTTTGTTGTTTGAAACTATTTTCTTATTATTTATTTTGATGACTTAATTTTCCAAGGGATGTATTGGTCTAAGGTTTGGGTTAGAAGTTGGTTCTCCCACTAGGTGAATTAGCGTGAGTGTCATTCACGACGATTTGGATCATGACAATGTCATTGAGCTACAGTAATGAAAAAATTAATACATAACAAAAACAAAATGCGGAAGTTTCTAGAATGTAAAAAATTCCACAAAGATTAATATAAACAAATACTAAAAGATTTCATAAAATTAAAAGTTATACTAGATCGCATTTCCTTTCAAAAATAAAAAATCTAATGAGATTTTTTTTAAAGGAGTATGTGTACACTAGATTGGATTGCAATAGTAGAAAAAAAGAAATTTAAATCATACTAGACCCTATTAAAATATGGAAAAAAGATTAAATGTTAAACAAAATCGCATAATCAAATTATAATATGTTGAATTATAATTTCAATTTTTTTTTTAAATACGAAAAAGTCAAAAGAGATATAAATATCGATATTACAATGGAGAACAGTTTTAAAAAAGTTCAAAAATAGTCAAAAAAGATATAAAGGCTACCATTAAAAT